CTCTGCCTTCTCCTGGTCCTGCCCTGCCTCTTCCAGGGCGCCGCGCCGGCTCTCGGGGTTGAAGTTTTCCTGGAGCAGGGGAAGGACAGAGACCAGAGCAGGGCGTGACCTCGGCGTGACCCAAAAGTCGCCCCGCCCGCGCGACCCCGGGCCTCTCTGTCCTGCTGTGGTCCACCTCGGGCCCGCCGCTGCCTGCACACCGTGCCCAGACTTCGCCGCTGCTCCGCAGGCTTCGCGCCAAGGATCCAGGCGCCCAGGCTGGGCCTGGGGCCTACAGAGCCCAACCCACAGCCCGCCTAGGGCTCAAAGGGGAACTGGATCCTCCAGCGCTGTTGGTGCCGGACTTCTGACTCGCTGCCAACGCGCGATGCATGTCCCTGCGCTCCGCACCCTTCCCGGGAGGCTGCCTCTCAGATCCGCTCCTCCGCCCGGTCCTCGTTCTTGTTAAGGCTGGCCCTTAACCTGTTCTTGTGGTCAAAGTTTCTAAGTTCATCTTGGCTCCCAACTCCACTTGAGGCTGTAAATAAAGTTAAATGCTCTTTATTTTCCTCTTGAATATGTTATACTAGTTGAACAATTTAAAGTGCTTTGCACAAGTGAAGCGAACCATTTCTAATGTTCTGATTTTTCAGAGCCAGCCAACAACAAAGTTTAGATTAGTAATATATTTCTAACCAGAGTAATTTTCAAGATCATTAGGCATTTATGTAATTAGTGCCAAATCTATAAGCTTTTATTACGATTATTAGAGTAAAATCAGTATAAATTTGTACTAATTTACTACTGTTTAGACTTGGCTGTCAAGCCCAGAGGTTCTTATTGTAAATGATAACTGAGGAAATTAAGTGCAAAATTCTGTACCATTTCTGATCTGCTCCTAAACAATCCGTTTCAATTGTATTTGTAGCAGAACATAATGCCTTTTTAAAGTTATTTGACTTGTATTTTTATTTGCAACACAAGAAAAATGCCCTCTACCCAGGCACAATGAAAACTGATATTTACTACTCCTAACTTGATTAACATTGATTTTTAATTCGAGAGTGATGCAATTAAGATTATTCATTTAGTGCAAATAAAGCTTCCACAAAAGGGTGGCCCTATGAAGTCTGTTTTAAATAATATCAAGCAAATGGCTTTTTTTGTTCGCCGTCCAATTGACTTACACAAAACATTGGAAATGCTGGCTGAGAGCAGATGCGAGAGTGTAAGAGGAATTGTGTGTGTGTGTGTGTGTGTGTGTGTGTGTGTGTCCTCAGCTGTGTGTGTGTGACAGGGACGAGCAAAGAAACAAAGGAGGCTCAAGGCGAACTCTGGGATAGTTTTGTTTCTTCTTCTCTTGCAGCCCGTTCAGCCTTCTGTGCACACACGCGTGCATGCGCGCACTCACCCAGGCACACGCGCGCGCTCTCACACACACACACACACACACACACACACACACACACGTGCGAATGCGCGGAGGGGGGTCTGCTTCACAGGTTCCCCTGCAGGCTTAGAGACCTCGTCCCCGGAAAGTCCGGGCCTGACCCGGGCGGCCTTGCGGGCCGCCGACGCGGCCTAGATGGAGTCGGGCTTGGAGCAGCTGCGAGGGCGCTAGGCAAGCACCAGGTGCCCTTTTGAGAAAGGTTCCACCTGGGAGTAGATGGAGGAATTCCAAGACCCAAAACAAACAGAGCCCTCCAAGAAAAGCTCCCTCTCCTAACAAACCCCATTTTTAGAATTTAAAGCTGGAAGCGCGGGGCGGGAGGAAACTGGATCAGTAGGGAGGGGCGGTGGGCACACCAGGGTCCAGCGGCAGCTCAGGTCCAGGCACTCGCGGGGGGATTCTGCCCACCCAGACGGGGCTTTGGGGTATCCCGGCCGGACGGCAGGACACGAGTGGGGAGAGAGATTCAGGAGGGATTAAGAAGCCGGGCATCTGTACCCGGCTCCCCCAAATGGGCAGGCCAGCCCAGGCCCCACGGTAATGGCTCCGCAGCTCGCCCGGAAGAATGTCGCACCCAGGACCGTGGTGGGGCGAGGGCTGCGGGTCCGCACCTGAGAGCATACACAAGAGCACGGGTGTCCCGCCCACGGCCGCCCGCTCTGCCAGGCCGGGCCTCGTCCTCCACCCGCGCTCGCTTGTAGATTCTGTTTTGTTGTGTTTCAGGTCGATAAATAAATGTGTAATAGTTAATGTGAAGACATATCAGAGTAATAACAATGGGACGAAATCAAAGGATTATCCATCTCTGTTAGTAACCGCTGAATAACAATGTTGCGGCGTGATTGATAGCCCGCTTCATTTTATGACTTTTCTATTGGTCTTGATTTTTATAGCAGTATAAACAAACTAAATCATTTCTTCCAAGACTTCGGAGCATAAGGATGGGGAGGGAGAAAGAAAAGAGAGAAATCCGCGCATGGGAGGGGTGGCCGGCGTGGGTGGCCTCGCGTGGGGAGGGCTCAGTAGAGCCGGTGCCGCCGGGCGTGGCAAGGACGACAGCCCCGCGGATGCGGGACGCTGCCTCCGCAGCTCGCTTTGGCCGACGTCTGGCTACACCTGGACAGCGGCAGAGCTGTATTTCCCGGAGTTTTATTCTCACCGTCTTCCCACGTTCCTGGGGCAGCCGGGAAAGTGCCGGTCAGGCCCAGTGCTGTTGATATTTAAGGCATTTCCCACATGATCACGGGAACTGAAGTCCCTAACAAGGCGAGGCTTTGGCACGATGGCCCCCAAATCTTCGGAATGACAAGAATGTCTTCAGAAATCACTTCACAGCAAAGTAAAAGGATTTTCTATGACGGATCCAGTGATTTTTCCTCAATAAATAGGTTTTAGATTGTTACACACACGTAGAAGTGGAACAAAGGGAACTACCAGAAAATATATTGGTTGCCCCTAATAAAATTTATTTAGACAGTTTACTTCTCATAAAAAATAGAGATTGAATTTTGTACAAGAGCCTGCCAAGGGGCGATGCACAGGGAAATCATTTTTTTCTTTCTCCTCCCCCCACCCCTTTTCTCCTTTTTAACGAAACACAAAGAGCTTTTAAAGGCCGGGGAGTCATCTTGGGCTCCCGCCGGCCTGGTGCCCAGACAGAGCTGGGAAACTCGCTGTCTGTGAGAGAAGCCGGCTTTCTGGGAGTCATATTTTTTAAAAAACCAAAATCTTGATGACTGATTATGTAAATTACAAACAGAGCAAGTACACAATCCGAGTCTTTCCTCCTGCCTTGCCATGCTGCTAGTCCAGAGCAAGATTTGGAAATATAGTGTGGCTGAATTGAGGGTGGGAATGGGGTGGAAGCTGGTCCCATGGCGCCTTCGAGGTGGAGTTATGCGGCTTAGCACTGCGATTCTGATTTTCTCTTTAATTGTATTTCTGCATTCATTGTGTAACCTTTGTGTGACAAAGACAGAAAGAGAATAAAAATGTATACTGGGTGATGGTGGAAGAATTGGGTAGTGTGCCCAGGCTCTAATTGCTTTTTCCACTTACAGAAACCTCTGGTGTTTATTAAATGTAACTTTCGGCTGCTTGGGTTGTTTGTAAACTGCTCTTTTTTCTTTGCAGACAGTGAGCTGAAATATGGTGCATTATTATTCACATTCCTGCTATTAAATGCTGAATTGTAACATTGTTCCCTTTAATGAGGAGTGCCTCCCTCAATAATTAACGATCTCACATTTTCCTATTTTCTTGCCTGATGAAAAGAATCAATTTTAATTCGTGGTAAATTACAACCATACTTTTGGGTATTATTTGCTTACAGAAAACAAATCAAGTGACTTGAACACTCCTGTTTACTTTTCGAGATATGCAATAACCCAAACACAACAGCAAATCAAATTGTGTTCCTCAGGCCCATCGGAAAAAAAGATGGGGCAAGCACAGGCGGACAAGAACGGCAGCTCCCCAGCCCACTGCTCCAGAACAATGGTGACCGCTTGCTCACTCACTTGTCCTCCCTCCACAACAGACAGAACCCAGACTTCTGTACCAGTCCTCACCACCCTCCTCAGCCTGGGCAGAGTTTGTAGATCACATCTGGCCACTCTAGAGTTTGGGGCTGCTCCACAGAAGGCAGATTCAAAGGAGTCAATTTGAGAGTGGGGTGAGGGAAGGTGGGAAGGAAGGAGATCCGACCGGGTGGCCAAGTCCCTGCAAAGGGCACCCAATGTGTCCACACCTCTCTGCCTGAAAGGACTCTCTGGAGATTCCCAGCTCTGGAGACCACAGAGGCTCCAGCTGAGTGTCCCTGATGGTGTGCAATGAGAGCCCTGGCTTGCCTTCAGACAGGGCTTTGCAGGGCAGACACTGATGTCAATGATTCTTAGCTCAGCACCAATGCCTGTCCCCCAGGCCTCTGGGCCACACAATGGGGTGGTCCATTTGATGTAGCTGCCTAGGTCTGTGGCCACAAAAATCAACCTTCAGGACCCAGGTTCCCAGCTCCTTAGTCAAACAATGAACACCCATACGCAGGGGACTTTTTATTTGTTGTTAACAGACGCAGAGAGCAGGGCTGTGTGTGCTTAGTGTGTACCTGGTGTGCACTTGGGTGAGCAGTGCTTGTCCACTGTGGCTCACTCACAGGGTGCAGGCATCCCAGGAGCTGCAGAGGAGCAGAGAACTTGTTCAAAATGACTTGCACACCCCCCTCCCCATACCCTTTGGTAGCAAGGAGCACCACATAATTTTTCTGGAATAAACAGTTT